AAATACAAAAATTTAAACTAAAACAAGAAGAATTCAAAACAAATATAATACTGTTTTTAGATATAATACTTATTCTCAAAAGATTTTACATACTTTCAGAAATTGGATTTACAGAACTGAACAAAATTGGTCACTTTGAAAATCTGTCCACAATTTCAAAGCAATGTCAAGTCGATAATAATTATTATTCTGTAGAAACAAGCCATTGTGTTTTACAATTAGAAAAGTTCAACCTTTCATTTAATAAATACTTAAAATATATTTGTGAATTAATTTTTTTTAAATAATAATTACCTTCAGAAAATAATGAGCAACTGTAAAATTTTTGATCTCTGCTAATTCTTCATTGAATACTTTACTAAACTATTTGGGTAATTAAAGAGTGCATTTTTTAGTATTTGACCTATTCAATATTCAAACAAATCAGCATTTAGGCATTAATAATTGTTTTAGCTTACTTTATCTAGTTTCATAAATCAAAAAAGATGAATAATATTCTTTATTTGGTTAGGTACTATAGATCAAAAAGGTATAAAAGATCAAGATTAAACAATTTATCTAAGCTACCGTTTTCATTCAAATAAATTTAAATATCTTAATAATTTAGTGCAATATTTTTGAAAAGAAGCATTGAAATGCTGGCTTTTATTTTTAATTAATAGCAAGATAATAATACTCAAATGTATTTAAGTAAAAATAAAGTGTCAGAGTTGCTCTCTTATTCTAAGCTCGACAGATTTATATTTTAACTTAACTAAAGTAAATTTAAGAGTAATGCTCAGCTTTCAGATGGCTACACGATCAGCAACACAAAAATACAGATTTCATTGCTCGGTTTTTTTTTCTCACAGCTGCGAAATCCAGGATACGACTTTGTGCGCATAATCCCGCTTATGAATCTCAGCGGAGAACATTATGCTATAAGTAAGAATTCTTCGATATGAATTAAATTAAACATTAATACAATTCTTTTTTGTTGTTGCTATTAATAACTGAATTAATTTTAAACAGCCACGAGAATGAGTTAATATTTCTTATTTATTTTGCAATCTCTGGAGACTATGCAAATTTTTTGCTTCTAGCAGTACTTTTTAATATCTCAAAGAATTTGTGCTATATTCAAAATTCTTGTCAATTTTAAATAAAGAACTAATAAAAAGTTAATTGCATTGGAAAAACAAATACTTTTTTTTGTTAAGCGAATGAAAAGTGCGCCTAACAGAAGACAAATCAAAATTACCGTAGCAAATACTTTAGACGTGAATGTGTGAACTTTCTAAAACTAAGCTGATTTTACTATTTTGTTTATTATTGAATAAAATGAGTAGATTTCTGATACTGTTTGTTTGCAATATTGTAATGTTTACTTCTGAATAATTCTATTTGAATACAAATTTGCTTTTAATAAAGTTTGACAAGCTTACAGACGAATCATGGAACACGATCGAAATCCGAGCAGTAGTTCAAAAAAATCATGTGACCTCGAGGAAGCAGCAAGACGGAGTAACAATGCCCGAGCGAAAATGATGGGTTATGAAAAATATGATATGTTTATCATTAATCCAATTTTCGGTACTGGTTTACACTATGATAAAAGTAAAGAGGTTAGTATAGAGATAATTGTGTCAGCAGAGAGATCATTTAATCAGTACCGTCCATAGCATGTGAAGATTTTTTGATATTATCCAAAAGTCACAAAATTTAAATTTCAAGGAGGCTATAAAAACTGATATATGTATGTTCATAAACTACAAGTTGTCAGAAGCCATGTTGTAGAATCACTTTACTTGTCAACGATACTTCAGAAAAAATTTGAGTAATTAAAAAAATCTTTTCTTTTCGTTCGCTTGGCTAACAATTTTGAGTAAAAACAGTTGTTAATACACAATTTTTAGTTATTATTATTATTATTATTATTATTATTATTATCAGTACTGTTATTATCATCTTTCCTTAACCTACTACTATATTTTTTAAATATTTTGCATGTTGTCATTACATTTTTTAAAGCTTATCAACAAATTTTAATTTTATGTGCAATATTATGCAAAAGGAGTGGTACTTCATGAAAAATCGTCTTCGTCTTCAAGTTCGAATACTGAAAATTGGTCAGAAAAATATCCACTTCACAAAGCAGCACACGACAATAACGTGGAAGAAATAAGGTGTGTCAATTTACTTATTTAATTTTATACGTAATAAAATATTATCAAATCATTTTTACTCTCAGGTAATAAATGGTTTTAAATAAATACATAGCAAATTACCTTATGAAAACTGAAATAAATGTAATGCAAGAATATATTATAAGGCGATTGTTAGCGCAAGGCTTGTCAGTGAATGAAAAAGATAATGCCATTTGGACGCCTTTGCATTACTGTGCTTTTTACAATAATTTACAAGCAATGGAAGTGAGTATTAATTTTAAAAATAGATAATTTTTCGATTTGAGAATTGACAATTTTGATTTAGAATTCAATTTCTGTACATTTACTATATAGTTTTAAACAATCAGAATGAATCGTAATGAAAGCATTATAATAATTATATAATTATTATTATTATATAATAATTAAAAGATGAATTTTGTGAAGAAATAAGCATTTTAATAATTAAAAAATGGCGATCAAGCTTTAGGCATTGCTATTACATCAAAGCACAGATGTGAACGCTGTTAATAAAGCAGGCTCAACTGCATTACATTTTGCAGCACTGCAAGGAAATGCTTATATGGTTGAATTATTATTATCACATTCCAAGATTAATTTGGTACGATATTTGCAAAGTGATGTGAATTGTACAAATTTTGCTTCAATTTAATCAGTTATTAATTTAATTAATTAATGTTAACTTTAGAAGTTATTTTATAATTTAATTATTTTAGATACTAATTTTGTTTTTTATTAGCAAAATTTTTTCATAATAAAAGTATTACAAAATAATCGCAACTTTTTACTTTTATCTATGAAATATTCGAAAACTTTAATTCTGCTAAATATAATGATATTAATACTTTGTAAAATCGATTTGAAAAATCATAATTGATTACAGGATGTCTCAGATAATAGTGGACGACGTCCTATTGATATCTGTGCATATGTGCCTAAATTAGAATATAAAAAAGTGACTGAAATGTTATCGAATTGGAAACCTCTCGATAAAATACAAGTAATTCTATTAATTAATTTATTAAATTATTGGACAAGTTTTTTCATCTATCACAAGTTTGCATAATTTATGTAATTTCAAAAGGGACTTGTGAAAACCCTTAAACAACAGAAAGGTTCCGCAGTATATCCAAACTAGCCCACAAAATATGCCATATTTGAACTTTGGCACTTAATAAAGATTATTAATATAAAAGTGTAATATTTAATTTTAGTTGAAAATTATTTGTTTTAATAAATTTTGTTAGAAACTTTCAGGTAGAATTGATGGATGGAGGAAATGCCCAATTATTACTTCTTCATGGAGAACAAACAACCGCTCAAGAATTACACTCTGAGATGTGCAAAGAACTGAATTTCAATACTGATAGCGGGAAATTATTTGCTATTTGGATTTGTTCAAATCGCTTAAGTAGGTTTGTTTAAATTTTAAACAGTATTAAATAACTATTTGCTTGCAATCTTTGATTTTAATTTAAAATTTAAAATGCTTTTT